AGTGCATCCTCCCCATGCTCCCGTTGGTGGTGCAGCCATTGCTCGTCTTCGGTGCTGAACGGAAGCACCACCGTAAGCCCGAAACACCAGTACCCCTCCGGGCAGTCAGCCTTTTCGAGGTACCAGCAGGAGAGCCAGAGGTCTCCCAAGGCGAGCCACTGGGCGACGAGGAATCGCCAACTTTCGACATGGTGAAAGCACGCCGCGGTCATGGCTGCGGGGAACCTGCCGACCGGCTGCTGAGCGGCGGGAGTGGGGTGCAGGGCGCGCGGTGCAGGATGGTCAGGATGCAGGGGGGCTCTGACATGCGCTTTTGCCGTTTTTGAGGTCTTGGACGGTGTTTGGATGTCGGACTGGTCGTTTGACGTATTGTGGGTGCGTGGGAGGATGTCCTTGTCCCATGCTGGGCGTCAGATTCGGATGGAACCATGCTGTCTGATGCGTAGTCGGTCATGGAGGGGACTATAACTATACACTGGAGCTGATTCTGGAACTGTGGTCGCTGAGCGGCTTGGTCTTGGACAGTTCTGGCGGAATTGTAATTCCTTGATTGCTCCTCAAGCTACCGGTGTGTCCAGCTGTAAAATGTACTTGATGAAGTAGCTATTGTCGATCGGTTGGTGGCGCTGTAAATGCTGCCTGATGATGCTGGGTAGATGAAGTTGATGTAGACATTTGCCTTGTCATTTATGGCCTGGAAATGGCCAACTTCAACAGGTCGTTTTCGGGCACAAGGATGGGCATGCAAGGACAATGTATTAGCCCCTCTGTCTTTTCCGTGAGGATACTTCTTCTTTCGCTGACAAGGCCAACGCCGGTCAGTGGGTCAGTGGGTCAGTGGTTTGGGGGCTCAGGTTGTCCGAAAAAAGAAAGGATCATCACGGAAAAGACAGAGCGACTAACTGGGTTCCAGTGGGTCTGGCCTTGCTCAAGACAAAAGGGGCGGGCGGACTGGGGCATGGAGCGCCAGGGAAGCCTCGTCGTGCTGTGTTGTTCCTCCACTCTGAGAACTTCTCCAAAAGAAAGGTCGTTGCGTCGCACCGGGACCGTCGTTCAACAGCCGGGCCACCACTAGCGAAAAGTTGGGAGGGAAAATTGAAAAATGAAGATACAGTACTAATGGCTGTGGTGGTGGCAGCGACGAACACCGAACAGAAGAACTGTCGTTTGTGTAGAATGGTGTTGTGCATTGGCGCCCAAGGAATGCACAGAGCGGCCCGCATGCAAAGCGCCCCCACACGAACACTTCTCCCGCTTCCCTCCCTCGGCGGCCCCATGGCGGCGTCGAGCCCCGTCAGGGTCTCCCTCGACGAACTGACCGAGGACCAGAGCGGCAGGTGCGCCCGCCCCCCCGCCCCCCCTTCTCCACGCGCAAGTCTCCAAACACGCCAATTGCGCGAATCCGCCTCCCGCCCCTCCCAAATTCCCAAGCCCAACCGCCGCGCAGGGACGATCAGATCGACGCCGACGGCTTCGAGGTCGACGTGGGCAACCTCTGCGCGTCGGACCCCCGCCCCGTCTCCCCCCACCTCCTCGATCCCGACGGCCTGCCGTCGATCGAATCGGCCGCCGGCGCCGCCCAGGCCCTCGCGGCGGCCCTGTTCTCCCTGCCCGGCCAGGCGGACGATCACGGCAACTGGATCGTGACGCTGCCCGATCCGATCGCGGCGATCCCTCGCGAGAAGCCGCTGCCGACGGCGCGGCCGGAGACGAGGTGGGAGCGGTTCGCCAAGCGGAAGGGGATTAAGAAGCGGAAGAAGGAGAAGCGCGTGTGGGATGAGGAGGTGGGGGAGTGGCGGCGGCGGTATGGGTACAAGAGGGTGGGCGACGCCAGGGACGTGGCGGTGCTGGACGCCAAGCCCACGGACGAGGTGAGGGGCGGATTGTGGGGGATTGGTGCTATCCTTGCAGGTTAACCAGTGCAAAATTTGCATCAGTGTCGCCTGCGCAGCGCTTTCACACGGCGAGGCCGCGCGTCGCCTGGCGGAGTCCGCTAATCTTTCGCATTCGCTCATGTCGCCCCTGCTAAGTGTTCCTCCGCTCCCCCGTCCCTCTCCCAAAGGGCGACCCACCACCACCGGGTCCTACGTTCCGACCTGTGGATTGGTGGTCTTTCTTCCAAGGATTGTGAAGGCGTGTTTTGGAAACTGAGTCGAATGGTCTTGTGTGTTATGTTTCGTGTTCTCTTCTTTCCGTGGAACGTTGCGGCGTGTTTCAGGAACCATGCTGGGTGGCTTGACGTTGTGCATGGTGGTGGGAAAGGAGGGAGGGGGGGGGGGGGGGGGGGGGGGGGGGGGGGGGGGGGGGGGGGGGGGGGGGGGGGGAGGGGTATGTGGGGATGCAAGGTGCTGTGCAGGCGCCTTGCATGGTTTGCAAGTCTATGACCATGTGTCTTTCTGCATGTGATGGTGGCGCAATTGCCTGAGATGACAAGGAAATTTGTGGGATGAAAGGAACATTGCATTCAACAGGCACCCTTGTGAGTAGGAATTGGGTAGCGAAGTCCTTTTCCGCGCTTTGAAAGATTATGTGAAAGCCTCCAAGTACAGGCAGTAAAGCACACTATGCATATGCGGTATGGTGTTCCAGCATAAAAGCATTGCATCCCCATTTCATGCAAACAAATCTCCAGGTACTTGTACAGTCGCAAACTTCATTGCTTGAATGGGGATAATGTTGTCACCCAACCTCTGATTTCGATGATAGACAAGGAAAGGAGAATCACAAAATGAGAGGAAGAATAGAATGGTTCAAAGGAAGCACAAGCACAAGGATCTTGCGGGTTACCTTCAATGCGGGCATCTTCATGCCCATGTACTTTGTTGTGGCCTCAACCAGCTTAAGCATGATATTGATGGGATGGCACATTCGCTCAAAAGGAGTCGTCAGAAAGAGTCCTCTGCAGAGCTCCAAGCTATTTTGAGCACTGCTACCATAGCATATTACACGCTTCCGCATCGCAACTTGAGATCTGGCCCTTTATTCGGAGCAAAAATGAAAGCCGTAATGGTGCCAAGAACACGTGGAGCAGCCCCATCTGCAATGCAAGGTCTATGGGCTGCTCCCGGCGTCCAGCGGCCCCTGATGCAGGAGTCATTCTGGTGGAAAACCAGTATTTGAGGCCATGTGATGTGAGTGCAGTTTACATTTCTGCTGTGATCATGATGCAGAGCCCCAAAAGTAACGGTCTGTCTAGAAAATGTGGAGCAAAAATCTGAGCATTGGAATTTCGAACTGCAGAAGGGCTGAGTATGATCCGTTATGTTGCAAATATGCGATGAGCATAGCGCTGCCCCTGATCAGGTGTGATATCCAATCAACAGAGCAGTTGAAGAGTCAGATGAACTTCTTTCTGCCTGTTGAGCTATCCTTCAGATGGCCTTACCCATTGTAGCAATGAGTGCAAGGAGACCAGCCTGTCATGTAAAGATATGTTGCAAATGTAAATGTATGGCAGCATCCCATGCGAGTCCCGTACAGTATCTTCCCTGTTTTGTGGTACAACAATAAAGCTTTCGGCTGCCAGTCGGAGGACAGGACTGCCATCCACCTAGACCTTATTTTATTCTATGAGCAGCACTTGACATGAATTGCCTGGCAGGTGGAAGGACAGTGTCATGTGATGCCTTCCTAACAATATGAAACAGACAAGCTTGTGCTTCAGCAGTTCGCAGTTCTCCTGAGGTGACGCTCGCTGCGATTTTGCAGGTTGGTGAGGATCCCTTTACGAAAATGGATGAAGCAAAGAAGGAGCGTGTGAGGAAGCAAGAAAAGCGCATGGTGGCAAACATCAAATCTGCCGCAAAGGCAGGGTATGTGCCAAATTCTGTGAAGCTGTCAGCAAAGCTGCCAGAATATGGGAAGGGACACCCGATGGACAGAAAACAGCACCTGAGCGAGGTGAGTTATTACATGCAGTCGGTGCAAAAAAGTGTGAATTTCATACGATCCATTGTACTGACCCCAACATGCGAAACTAAGTTCAGCACGCTTATAGCCTTATAGACATGTGAGGAAATAACAGCGTGGCCCAACTTTGGCAGGACAAATGGTGAATGTGCCACGGGAAATACTGCTTGCTCAGACGATTTTGGAATGTTGCCATTGTCAATGATTCCTTGATGGAGTCGCTGAGCAGCGTTCACTCAACAACTCTGCTGCCAGCAAGTAGTGAATATGTCAATCTGATCGTGATTGTGGCATTCAGCAGATAGCAATGAAGAGTATCGACTCAGAACTGTGGCGCTTTTCTCGCAGGTCAAGTCGGCAGCCGACCAGGCGGGCGTCTCCACAGCCTCCATGGGCAAATTCGACAAGCCCCTGCCCGGTGAGACCGAGGGTGCCAGGAGCCAGCCTGTGAAGCGCCGAAAGCCAATCGCCTCGGGGCAGCCTACGACCATAGAGGTTGAGACTCTTGCCAAGATGGCCGACCGCCTGGTGCGTGAGCGATCGGAGGACGGCCTGGCGGTGGGTCGGGCGATTGGTCACCTTGAGGCCGCCAAGAGGGAGGCACGCCACAGGGAGAAGGTGGAGCGGTACATGGAAGGGGAGGAGGACGAAGGGGGGAGGGGGGGCAAGGGAGGGTGGAAGGGCAAGGGGGGCAGGAAGGGGAAGCAGGGGAGGAAGGGGGGCGTGGGAAAGGTCGTGGCAAAGGCCGGCAAGGGGGCTGGCAAGGGCAGAGGGGGCACAAGGAGAAGGAAGGGCAGGAGGTAGCGGACATGACGCTAGAGAAACGACAAACTGTTGCGAAAGCTTGCACATGTTGGTTAAGTGCTGGAGTTGTGTGTGTGCTGCGAACGGTGTTGAGGGTGGGCATGTTTGATTGCATTTTGGCGATTCATTTTCACGAGCCGGTGCTCCTGCGTGTTGACAGCCACGAGGAAGGAGAGGAGTCCCGATTGATGCCGTGGCTGCTCGTGCTTGAGGACAACATTGCATGCTTTGCTGCCCGGCGCCCTTGTGGGCACAACGTCTGTTCCACCACAGTTTTCCAATGTTCACCATGGGAATTTATTAACTCCTTTGCGGCTGTATTTGCTACTGGTATGGGCGCCGTCATTGTCGCTTGGGCGCCAGCAACCAGACACAGCCCATTCTGCCCTCAACACCCAGCGTGGTCGGATGCAGGCAATCGAATGCGCCCACCGTAGTTTTTCACCGACAAGCCTGTGAAAGATCACTTGCTGGCCGCAAGCAAGCCATGTCACTGGCCTCTTGGCGGACTAACGCGCACTGTGCCACGAACCTGTGCCTCCAATGCTGGAATCCATGCCGTCGCGGTACTGTAGCAAGCCCAAAACGCGCTGTCTCAAGAGAACGGATGCGCCATCCAGGATTCATGTGAATTCACCGCCCTTGCGTCCAATGTGCGATGCGACTACACGCTGTTGCTGTGCCCACAGGATTGCTCCTCCCACAACACATCGGCCCGCGCCTAAGTTGCGATGACCAATACATGTGTATGTACATATGTGTATGTACACATGTGGTGTCTCGTCACATACACACATGACATATATCGTGTACACCACGCAGGGTTATATATTCCCTCGCGGCAGAAAAGAGCAGCAATTAGCGCAGCAGTTGACCTGGCATTGTCCCAGGGAGCGACAGTGGAGCGCTTTGTCACGCATATGGCAAACGCAGCCAATGAGGATTCGCGAACACCTGCAGGAATGAGTCTCTTCTGTGTGGCCGACATTTCATTCCCGCAAGACAGCGATGGCCTCCGAATCCGCAGTGTTGACGTATGCCTTTGTGCACAGACAAAGGAAAAACAACGCTGGTGAGTGCTGTTGCATAGCCCGACTATCTGATTCAGTAGACAAGACAGCCAAACCTGCCCCACCATGAAATTGACAGCACGCTGGATTAGAACAGGTACAAGATTTGGCAGGCTTCGTCGTACAGGCCTTCTGGGAATCCCTCCTCGGAATGAAATTTAGGGACCGTCCATTGTTCATGGACAGCCTCAGTGTCGTCTCCGGCTCGCAGCTTTCGCTCGACTCCTTTCCTGGGCTTTGGCCTGCATCGCGAATGAAGCGCGTTTGAGCCCCATGGTCATCGGCGAGTCGCAGTCGTGTTGGGTATTGATGGGACAGATGTTGGTCGGCTGTCTTTTGCACTTTGGAAAGGCGTCGTACTGTTGTTGATTGTGACGCACAGAGATAATTAATGTTCCATGGCGATTTGTGAATATTCAGAGCGTCGACGAATACGTTATGAATGAAGTGTTGCAAACAATGTGCACTCACTGTGATATATCTAATTTTCGGCCAGTTTTTATCATAATATTGTTTGGTTTTGTGCTAATGCCATAGCAATATAGCAATGTGGTAATGTACATATGCGCAGACCAATTAATGGTAACTGGTGGTTAGTATGCGACTTGCAGCATTGTCGGCAACTGTGTTCCCAAAATGTGTAGCACGGTGAGGCTCACCAATGCCCGGTGTCACTGCCATGTGGGTTGGATATATCGGACTATGTGCTAAGACGCGCTGACGCTGACAATACGTTGGTACTGTTTTGCACTGGCTGTAAACAGAGCGCACCCACTTCGCTGCGTGGGCAAGATTTGGTGCTACGCTAAATTGGACGATACATGGCGTGGCTTTAAAAGTAAGATACAAAAGAAACTAATTTGTATCGTACTCGTGCCGTTCCTTGGCACTGACAGACGCCTGTCTGGACGGCGGCAAGGCCTGGCCCGCGAATTGTCCAAAGTGCCTCCATTCCGTCTGGTGAAATTAGGCAAGGCCTCGTACCTCCTGCAGCTGTGAGGCCGGGCGCCCGATTTTGGAGCACCTGGTGGCGGCCTGTCTCCCGCCACGGGCGCCGTCGCTCGGCGCTGCCGCTCTCCGCCGGAGACCTTGCCGGCCGCCGAAAAAGTGACATACCAGGAATCCCTCACGTCATCGTCCTCGCCCTCGACTTGCATCCCACACTGAACAAACAGGGAAGGGAAACTGTGGACAGAGTCCTCGGGTTTGGTTGGGTGCACAGTTCATGAAGGTCGAAAAGAAGAATGTTGCGTTGGAGCTGAAGTTGGGGCTGCAACCGCCTTGAAAAGCGCAAATCCAGTGGTGTGCGCCTTTTCCGGGAAAGTGCGACCTTGAAAACATCAACATTAACGGCACAGAAAAAATGCGACGCAATGGGTGCGAATCCAAAACGAGAAAAGCAGGGGCACACAAAAAGGGATGTACCCTCGCTGCGCGATTCAATTATTGATGTACGCGATATCTCAATTGACTCCGCAGACATTTCTTCATGCCAGAGCATGATTGGTGCTTCTTTCCCTTATATTGTCTGCGGGCGACAACACAACACCTGGCACTACAACACCGTTGTGATGAGTCACGCCCCCTGTGCCTTTGTGATGCGATGTTTGCTGCCGCAGTCGCACATACAACGCTTTTGTTCGTCGCGGCTGGTCTCCAGTCATTCACGCGACCCCCGAGTCGCGTATGTGCTTCTTTTGCGCGTGCTCGTTGCTTCCGCTTGGCTCCTGATGCCGGTAGCTTCCACGGCGTGGCAAGCGAAAATGGGTCCGAATCGGACCCTTTCATTTGTCTTCTGTCGATGATGACATCGAAATGAATGGCATGCACTTTTGGCAGGGAGATTTGTTGCAGCCAGCATGTCGCGCAAAAACCTGGAACCTGTGATTGTGCGAACCTTGCGGTTGAAGCACCGATCGAGCACGTGTGCAACGGACCAGTTCTGCTTCACGCCAGTGCTCTGTTTTTCGTCAACTGACATAAAGTACATTGAATTCTTGCGCCAGATGAAACAAGGACGGGAACCTACGGTGGATGACCAACCCGTCGCGCACATGGTGCCGCTGTAGATTAATGCAACCCATCATGCCCTTTTTGATAATTTGGGGTCGCTGACGTTCGATTTTCATTGCGGCTACGGTGGGTTCGATGGGCTGCGACTGTAACGCAATCAATTTTCCCGTGGCAACTGGGACGCCTTGGACCCCAAGTGCGTTGGACACACTAGGGGAAAAAGAACCAAACAACACCTGTTCAAACGTGTGCAAAATTTACGGGTTTGTGTTATTTTCGTGTTCTCAGCGTGCAGAGCTTTGATGAATGTGTTTTATGCGTGCTCGCAAAAGCATCATTTGGCCCTTTTTCCGCTAGTGACATTACGCCAGATGAAGCATGCACGTAAAATAAGCAAAAAATGTACCGCTCAAATTTTGTGCCAAATGCAACTAACCTCCTTCTCGACCTCGCCACTCGGCTGCTGTTCTCCTGGCACATGAAACTGGTCTCGAACCCACACCGACCGATCTTCAGCACCGCCGGGTGCCGCCGGCGCGAGCGATGCGCTCGCCGTTCGCCCTCCAGCGAGCCCTCCGGCGCTTTGAAGATGCCCGCCAGCTTGCCCCGGGCTTGCCTCCCCGGCCTGACTATCGACACCCGAAAAACACCTTCCGCCCTGACTCGTTAAATTCGTATCTGCACAGGCGATGGCGCCTGTGCGATCGGCCGAGGTAGGAACGGTCGACTGTGAAGTGGCGCCCTCGGAGCGGCTCGCTCTTCTCCACCGATGGTCAGCAGCTTCCCGGCCCCCAGCACCTTCCCTGCTTCCGCTGCCGTCCTCATGAGCCTCCCCTACCCTTCTGTTTCCTTCTCGCTTCCTCTCTGCCTTGCAGCAGTCTCCACCGTCCCTCACCCCTCCGATCAGATTCGGCTCATTTTCGCAGACCCTTTTCCTGGCAGCTGCCAGACTAACAGGGCGAAATCTGACGCCATGACAAACCTCTGAGCTTCTGTCCCGCGGCGCTGCGTCCTGCAGCGCACGTTAGCAATAAATCGCCCATTTCAACACAGTCTCACTCAGTGAATTTCCAAACATCACCGTTTGTAAATGGAAATGTTATTCACGTGCGATTTTCATATCACACACCATATGCGCCATTGAATATGGGCCATGTTCTAATAGCGAACAGTTGAAGTACCGAAATATTGACAGTGATAAATATTAGAATTGTGCTCTTACTATTATCACCTTCGGTGGCTCTTCATGGAAATGCACAAACACATCCCGCGGCTTTGCTCCCGCCACGGGAATGGCCGCCACGGACCCTTGTGCCTCTTGCGCGCGGTGCGCCTCGACGTCCGTCCCGGTGATTCGATGCGTGAACGCGGCCTTGAGCCATTTTTTGGCTTCCAGGCCAGGCGCTGGGGACAGAGGATTGGCGGTCTTGGGCACAGGAAGGCTGACGGTTCTCGAGCCGTTGGGACCCCTAGTAGCAGTTTTCAATTCGATGTATTACGTTTTTGTGCGCCACAATTCGCCAAGACTCGCCAAGATCCTCCCGCGAAGATCGCTGTAAGCTGTTGACACGTTGGCAGTGAGCTGTTGAGTTTCTGGCAGGCAGACCGGAGTGCCATTTCAAGGCGTTTTGTGCGAGAACTGCACCAGAGTGTTTCAAGCGGTGTCCATTTATTTCAAAACCAAAAACGCCATTGTCATGCAGGTCAGTATGTACCTAAAAGTCAGAATCCAAATGCGATCACTTAACGGCACCGCAGCGGAAAAATTGTGTAGCTGCGCCAGCGCCCTGACAGTGAAGGCAGCAAGCCACGCACGACAGTACTTTATTGCCACCTGAGTGTCGATCAAATCTCTGTAATCACAGAAACGCGTTTTCTGTAGAATTTGTGAGGATGTCCCGACTGGGCCCTAGCTCTGCTGGACCGGGGAGTTTGTCCAGCGAGTATCCCATCTGAGATACTCCCTTTTCTTAATTGCGGCTCTTGAACTTTCCAGTTTCCTGTAACTATAGGCACAAAAATAATCTTACGCTTGTATTGCCGCCTGTTCATCCAGTGCTTGAGCCTTGCGCTTCTCGGACCCCAATGCATAGTTCGCGCGCCTCTCCGTCAATTCGCATGTTACACCATTTTCACCGCCGCTTCCTAAATTTGCGCCACCGTCCGCCGCCACCTCGGTGGGCCGCAGCGCGGCTCGTCGCCCCTCAGTCTTGGAGACATAAGCCGCAAAGTCTTTTATGACCTGTTGCATTTTGAGGGTGAAGTTCCCCAGCTGAAACTGCCCGGACTTGATCATGTCATGCTGTCTGGAAATCGCCTTCAGCAGGAGCGACCTAGAGCGGTCTGTGATCTTCTCGAAGAAAGCGAATACGTCGTTAGGGGGCATGGCGATCAACTCTTGCTTGATGTCGTCCATTTTGATTGTCAGAAACTGCGGAACGAAAGGTCTATTTGATGTTTCGAATTGAGTGCGCGAGATATGGGGTTTGAATGAATTTGCCCCAAAAATTTTAAATGGTAAGAAGATATTCTGTGGCCATATAGATCTTTCAATATCAGCAAACGAGACCTTGCCGGGGCACAGAAGTCAATAATTCTGTGAATGGAACTTATCTGCGGTGCTCTTTTGATGCACACTTCATCTGAAGAACGCCATTTGGGCGGCCATCGACGTCGTCACACATCACATTTGGACGTTGGATCCAGACAATATTCTTCATTCTCCCGCTACTCAGGGCCGCTACTGTTTTCAGGGACGCCATTAAGCGCTCATATGGAACAAATTTCATAGTATTCTGCATATGCATTCGATTGCTGCACCATTACATACATCTCCTCAAAGCCACAGTTCACCGCTGCCTTCTTAATTCTGTGGGCGATTCATATTGGCGGCCCAGGACGTGGCCATGACGCACTCTGACGAGCCACGTATTACGGGTATAGCACGGACAATGACATGCACATGTTTGTCAAAAAAAAAAACACATTAGTAAAAATTCGGCCAAAACATACGGTTTCGAACTGTTTGAAAATCGTTTTAATACGGTGCCCAAAAATGTAAAATCATTTGCACACACTCATTCAATCGTTACTACACAGTTTCGTCCCATTTTCGCACAATAATTACACGATTTAACACGATTTCTACACGGCTTTATTTACACGGTGGCGATTTTAAAAACGAGTACTTTGGCCTGTTCTTACCAGTACTATTTGGGAAACCTTCTTCTTCTGCGGCTGATCCCCCCCACCTTGCACGCCGTCACAGTCCGCACGCTCGCCCACATGCGCTGGTTCCCCACCAGGCTGCCCTCCCCCGCGCACTCCCCGTGACCCAGGCGCCTCAGCTCGATCTCCATACCCGAATCCCCGGTGTCTGGCCTGCCGCCCCGCCGCCCCCCAGCTCGCGACGCCACCCCCATCAACCCGCACGCCACGCGGCAGTCGCCGCTCTGCACAACGTACAGACAGGGGGCTGCCTCCCAGGCCCTCAGGATGAGCTCGTTTTCACCATGCTCCTCGCAGCTGGTGCAAGTGTCAATAGAACGAAGTAACATTGGATGTTCTTCATATTTGTGTTTTCAGAGGGAGAAGAGGCAAAAGCAGTTACTTGCAACTATTGCTTTGAATTTGTGTTTGGTTGAATTTCACTGCGTCATTTGCTTTCGATAGACTTTCCATTCAACTTATTTCCAATCTCCAACTGGTTTGCAATTCCTGCACTGAAAGAACTGAAGCATTGGCTTCGTTTTCGAAGCTGATTGTACAGTCAGATTCTGAACTAGTAGTTCGACTAGTACTAATAATAGTACATGTGATACTATTTCAATATACGGAACCATTGACACGATTGGCGTACAGAATCAATTGTGCTAAAATTTGCCGATTCCTGCTCCCGTGCGCACCGCGTGTGTCTCAGCAGCTTTGACACTCTTTCAGCTGTCCATTCTGAGAACAGCGAGCATTTGCGCAGGAGGGCCAGGGCTAGGGCCTCGTTCTGAATGGGCGCAGGGTTGACAGCCCTGGCATTCAGGGACTCGGAAATCGTCATGAGGAGGGTGTCGCACTCGGCGGCGAATCGCAGCGCCGACGGTTCGCCTTCTGTTTGCGCCGACCAGATGGACGCATCGCAACAGGACACCCCGTCGCCTGCAAGCGAAACACCGATTCCTCATTACGAATGCAAGAGCATGGTGGTGAAAAACATGCCGGCAAAGCCGGGAATGAGGCGAATGAAATCGGAAGCCACCAACGGAAAACATGCAATGGCAGGAAATTCGAACACTAGGAGAAAAAGGGCCAAATAACACTTTTGCGAACACACATAAAACACATTTCATCATAGTTTAACACGCTAAGAACACAAAAATAACACAAACTCGTAAACTTTGTACACGTTTGAACACGTGTTATTTGGCCCTTTTTTCCTAGTGGAATCCGTTTAATCGCTCATAATCAGGTTGCAGGAACGACAGTCGCGCCAATTCCGCTTTATTCGAGCGGCCTTGTCCACATTTTCGTGTCCATCTTTCAGTCACGATCCGTTCAAACCACGCGATCCGTATCCATACGATTCACTGCAGTCCAACTTCCGGCACACGGACAACGCAGCATCCTTGCCACGAACAGTGACTCGAACGAAACGAGCTCAGGCCATGCGATGGGGAAAGTTTAGCCTACGCAATTCTGTGCGACCTGTCCCCGCCCGCAGACAAAACTGCAACAAAACGGACGCGAGCAAGCGAATTCGGGCCCCACCAGCAGCCACGCTCCTCAGCGTCTGCACCTCTTCGCCGCCCTTCTCATCCCGCACCGCCTTCCCAGTCACCAATCCCGCCGCCTCTTTGGATTCCCGCGGCCCGACGACCCCCGCCGTCCGCACAGCCGCGCGGCCCAAAAGCACCACCGCCGCGTCCGCCCCCGGCTTGGAAACGACGCTCATCAGGGGGACGTCGCTCCCTCCGGGCACCTTCGCGTAGCCTGCTGCTCTGCACACGGCCAGCCTCGCCTGCCAGGACAGGTCGCGGAAGAAGCGCAGCCTGCCGGCGGCGATGGCGAACATCTCCACCCTCTCCGGGGGGCGAAGGTCGCAGGGCGTTTGGAGAAAGTCCTGGGGGTCTTCGTCGTAGTCGACTCCCGCTGGGGCCGCGCGATGTTCTCCATTTCCGCCCTGCTTTCCGTCCGCCTCCTCTTCGTCTTCCTTTTCCACGCCTTCCGCTGGTGGTCGATTTTGATGGCGGCGATCCTCGACATCCCCATGAACTTGGTTGCCTTGGACCTGCACAGCCTGCTGATCTTGGATCTGATGCTCTGGGACGCTCTGACCATTTTGGTGATCTCGGATGGTCTGCTGATCCGCACTTTTTGCGGTCGTCTGCTCCGATGGAGTGCGACTGAGGTGATCCTGGATATCCTGATTGGGCTGGTGGTCAGCATGATCACTGCGATCTTGAGAACGTCGCTGTTCTCCAGTCTCTGTCTCTGAAGGTGAAGCTTGTTCCCTTTTATCATCGGCGGCATCCTCGCCGGCTCCCTCGGCCTTGCCTGCGTCAGTTGCCGCAGCGCCCTAGACAATAGGAAAACAAGGACCAAATAACTCTTTGTGCGAACACATATGAAATGCAATTCGTCAGTGTTCTGCGCGCTACAAACGCGAAAATAACCCAAACCTGTAAACGTTGTACACATATGAACACGTGTTATTTGGAACTTTTTTCCTAGCAAAACTGGTGGCAGCAGTGTGGCTTCAGGCGCTGCTCTTTAACTATCTTCATTCTCAACTAGACCCCTTTGTACCAGAGAAACTTATATTTGCATTTTGGAGAACATGAAAACAGAATCGACATCGCTGAGGTTCCACAACCTCTTGATGGCGCCTCTATACCCCATGACAGTAAGAGATTGTGCAAGTGCAACAAAATCGACACAAGATGGAAAGATGCCTGCAAGCGCTATTTATCAGCAGAAAACCCCTCCTGAATTGTTCCTAAATTTGCTTGACATGTTCAGTCATCAAGGAAGTCCTTAGAATGTGTCAATTTACAGCCATTGAGGCTGCCCACCTTGCCTACAATGGATTTGAGTATCCTATCGATAAGCCGGCCAACTCTGAGCATTCTTTCTTCCGAAAAACAGCTGGAAATTGTGTTCCACTATTAGGTCATGTTGCTGTATCATCCTGGCATCGACATAGGACTGGACGCCAAGGAGGGGGAGGTGTGGCGGTGGTGGGTGGGTGAATGGGTAAGATGGCATAACAAAATAACGAGGCAAAGTCACCTCCCTTTTCACCAATGTTTCAGGCGCTATAGGAGGGAGCACCGAAACAACACAACGCACAAAGCAGGAAAGCACATTGTTTGTCCACAGATCGTGCTCAGTGTTCACCCACGATCTTCAAGAAAGTCTCAGAAAGGGAAAATGCAAATGAGCCACAGCAGAGACGTCGACCCCTCGAACAACCAGAAAGACAGCGCACCAACGCCCAACACCCAGAACTGGCAGTACCACCCACATCCAACCACCGCGAACACCACCTGCAAACTTTGAGACCAAACGCCCACCTCCAGAGACCGTATACCAGTAGCGAGGTCTGGTAAAACTCAACTCAGCTATCTGCGATGAGGGCATGCAAGCGGTCGCCCGGTCTCCAAATGGCCCTGACAGCCGCAGCCAAAAACATTAAAAAACACATTGAAGGCGCCTTCTCCAATATAACTGCGCCCCTGATAAACCATGGCAAATTGGCAATCCTCTGAGAGGACTAGGGCCAGAGACCCCCCGGGAGGGGGCGGGGGGGGGGAGAGGGGGAGGGGGGTCGTCTGGGCTTAACGTCCAATTGGCGCTAAGCGCAACAAAATCGACATAGCGCTTTCCCGAAATGAATGTCTAATCGATGATAATATTCGCCATTGTTTCCATGATTTGTGGTTCAAATTCATTGCGATTTACCACATTTGAGATGTCCACTTCTAGAGGCGCAGTTGTGACGAGCAACGGTGCAAATATCATTCTCGCGGCGTCCAGTGATAACAGCAGAATTGTCGCCCGTGCCACTCTCACCTGATCTTCGCTTTGATCCCCAGCGGCATCAGCCACACCCGGCTCCTCGAAATAGGGTTCCGCAAGCCCGTTCACCTCGAGGACATCGGGACTTTGGTTCTGCTCGTAATCGGAGATCGCGGGCGCGTCCATTCTATGCTCACGCCCCTCCTGCACAAACCTCAGCTCTTCCCCAATCACCGCGCTCGGCATGCCGCCCTTCCCGAAGCTCCACAGGCGACTCAAGAGCTTGGGCTGGTGGAGAGCAGTCCCAGGAGCAACAAATGGTTTTAGAAGGCAGTGAACATTCTTTCAATGTACTTTGCAACAGTCGTCACCTTTTAGACCAAAGCAGTCACTAATGTACATGCTCGGCGACTGACACACCGAAACCGCACGTCACAAAGCAATTGAAGACTGCGGGAAAAGTCGATTCTTTGGCAATGCATCGCTTCCACCAGCATCTGCATATAACGGAATGAGTGGAGATAATTGCAATGAAAACAAGATGACCTGGAGGGATTACTTCCCCATCTCATTTTATCTTCTTATGCTGAGCAGGAAGCAGCAATGCTGCCTCAATTTTCCAGTTTAGCTCACCTGGTTTTTGCAAATCAAAGCTCTTAACATTTTGCAGCCTGCCATTTACTCACCGGAGCCGGGCATCCCATCGCGACCAGCCTCGCGCTCCTCGCCGCGCCGACGGGCGTGAAGGACCACGACCTGGCCACTGGGGCCAGCGCGTCCTCCGGCGTCCTGGGCGGCTCCATCAGCGACACCCTCGGGGATGAAGTGAAGGAACACGACCTCAGGGCCGCCATCTCCGCGCCTGGATCCAGCATCACGCTCCTGTACATTTGCGACCCATCGACCGTGCCTGACTCGCTGGGGATCCTGTGCACCATCGTCACGGTTTTCGCGACGTCCACGTAGCGCAGGCACTTGGGGGGGATTGGCTCCAGCCGCGCGGGCTGCCTGCCGAGGTGCTGGCCATCTGGAAAGGTGGAAGCTTCTGGGGGTTGTCGGTTTGTTGCCTCTTGGGGGCTGCATGGCTTGGCGAGGGACGGGGAGCAGTCGGGGGGCACAGACGTGGGCTCGGCAGCCGGCGCCGCGCCCTTGAGCACCAGCGGGCCTTGGGGCCCGGGCCTCTTCGGCCTGGGGTGGGCGTAGTAGGTGAAGGGGGCGCAGAGCGGCTGCGGACAAAGTGGCAGGGCTCCGATCAGGCAAGGCGTAGTAAATGCCGAAGTGAGGGAGCAACTTGTAGTGCAGAAAAGCAACGATGATGAGGGGGAGGGAGCAACCACGTTGTTGGCCCTTGATTGACACGTATTGTTATCCTGCCACTTGCACGTTTACGCGACTGCACTGCTACACTTACTGTTACACATGATACCTCATATGATCCGATGTGGTACCCTGTCAGCGTGTGCCACGCCCTGATTGCGCAGCTTGAAACGCGCAACATGTTTGTCCGACGCAGCGCGCGAAAACCATTCGCCATTTTTTCAACAGCAACTTCAAAGTCGAAAATGGGAGCCAAAACAACCGAAATTGGCAAAACTTTCCCGCTACCGCCCCGGCCCACCTTGGGCCGCCTGGGCCCCGCGGCCAGGCACTCCGCCACCATCCGCGCCACCTCGTCCGGCCCCCCTCCCACCATCTCCCTCAGAAACCCTTCCAGCGTCGCCGGCCGGAAATCTACCACCGCCGCGCCCATGCGCGGGCGCCTGCCCTCCATGGCGCCAGGAGCAGCACCCTCCCGGTTGCGGGAAAGGCGCAAGTTGCTCGATTGCCTGCAAGCAGGGCCAGAGAGGTACTTGAGACGCAAACGGCTGTGGAAAGCCGGTTTGGCCACACTGGAGGCCACGTCAGAGTGGAACACCGCGTGGGTTGTCAAGGGCCCCACCTGATTCCGGCGCCCTTCGTCTTTTGCCTTCCGCCTTGGACTTCACACTCAGTCCTTCGGTCTGTCGGACTTTTGCCTGGGCGGGCCAGCGGCGTGTGCCTGAAGCCCAGGGCCGGTGCACAGCCGCGCGGGGCCGCCCCAGCCGGCGCTGGCCCGGAACTCGGGATCCCGATCGGCCACTCGGGGCCTCGATTGCTCGAGGGGGCGGATCGGACCGCCTCCGTCGAGGGACCCGGGCCCCAGGGTGGGGGATGGCGCGGCGGGGGGCGTGCCGCCGGTGCGCGACACCGGCCGGCCTTGTGGGCGCCATCGCGGCCCTGGTGCTGGCGGGGCTGTACGTGCCGCGCGTGATCGACGATCAGCTGCAGCAGGGGGTGAGCGAATGAGGACGCAGGCGAGGCGCCGGGGACTGTTCGCGGAGTCCGGGAGGGGGGCGATGGGATGGAATCGGGAGGGGCGTATTGACGTTGGGTCGATCGGATAATGCAGGCACAGTCGCTGGGGGAGGGGGGGACGGGGACGGCGGCTTTGGCGTCCGCTGGCCAAGTTGGTGCTCATGTATACGCGCGCGGGAACAACGCAGCCGTGCGTGCTAGTGCGGCAGTGCGTGTTGTGCACGTTTGCTGCCGCGCGCGGGGGCTTGTGCGCGATGTTGGGCGGTTTGGAATCGGCGCAGCTGATGTTTTGCCAGGAAGGGGTGTGGGTATGGGATGACGCGCGTTGTGGTTCTTTGGTGCGGGGGGCGTGCTGCGGTCGTTCGCCGAGCGTCGCAAGGCCCTGGTGGGACTGCGAAACGTGTCGCCGTCTGATGAACTGATGTCGTTGCGGATGCGTGCTGTGGCCAGCGTGTCGCGGGTGTGCCGGTTTTCTTGTTGATGGAACGGATGCTGTGCCCCTGTCTTTTGACATTACAGTGTTCACTTGTCGTGACGCTGCGCCTGTGCCGCAGGTGCGGGACTATGTGGTCATGGGGCCTCAGGCTGCCAGAGATTACTACGGTGCGAGGACGAACCGGCAGTAGATTGGCCACAAAGAATATGAACCAAGAAAGGGGGGACGTCCAAACGAAACTCATGCCAAGTTTGGGCCCAGGGAGGGACAAGAATGAGAGGGGGCGATGGCTGCTTTTGCACTGCTGCCAGGCCTGTATCTTTGTGTGGCTGCAGCGAGTGAGGTGTTAATGCACTAATTCTCCTGCTACTCTTCCAGTTTCTGGAGTTTGAGGATGGCATGGAAATGGCCTGTTGCTAGACAGATGGGGGTGGTCAAACATTAGTTTTGGGGACCTTGATATCTATAGTGATCACATTCTAGCCATTCAGTGTGCAGTAATGCACCAGACGTTCCGCCTTGGAGCTGCAACGACTGTGCATTGTCAGCAACAAGCACAATGTAAGGACAGAAATGTGTGTTTGTTTTGTCCTTATTTCTCCGAGGACACCTGCAGGACCTGGTGGCACAGCCTAAAGCCTGCGAATGCAGGGATTGAGCATCTTGAAATCGTGGTTCCTATCCACAGGACGTTTTGTCAACAACACTGGCAAGGAGGCCACTCCTACTTATACTCGTTTCTGGATGTTCAACATCACTAATTTGAAAGAAGTGCAACAAGGGGCCAAGCCGAACGTGGTGGGTGTTGCTGAATATCGCACTGGTTATGACTGTGAGCTGGCCAGGACAGAACCCTGCCTTTGGTTGCACGATGTTTGTGTGTGTGCATATCTACGATTCCAGCACAAGGAGCAACAGCATGCACTGTGCATTCGCAACCTCACTGTGCACTGCCCTTGGCCTAGTGCCAGTTGAGTGTGCGATTGTCAAATGCTGGAATGAACACCAGTTCACTGAATTATGGCCCAAGGACACCAACCTTGGCATTGTTGCTCCCAACATCATGGCTGCAGGTGTGAAGAGAAGATTTTTTGCTCCAGGCCAAAACACATTGCTTTTCTTGAGAACGTGTGGACTTCAATCATTCTACTGTTCACCCACTATACTTCAAAGTATAGGCCATGGGGATCATTCCATCCATGTACCATGTGGTGCTGCAAAATCAATCCAATGCACAGTGCAGCCACTCGCAGTTCTATTTGGGAATGAAGCAAAACGTCCTGTGTTTAGGACATACATACTCACTGCAAAGAGTCTCTTCTACGGGAGACACAGACAGCTCCTTTTTGCCAAGTGTTTGGTACAAACTTCATTTTCTTTGGACATCCATAGCTTTGCCTTTGAGTGGCCCAAAAACATTCTCCAGCAACAACGTTTTGTGCAGCATAACCTTCTGCTTGCTGAAACAACACACACACAATGTGATGATAAGCTAGTTGTTGGATCGCCCGATGGCTCCATTTTGAACAAAAGCAATGGTTTGTATTCAATCTCACAAACAAACCTGGAGTACAGTGTTGCATGCTCCCTGTTTTTCGACCTTACTTTGTCACTTATGTAGTGGCTTCCATATTGCTGCAACTGAAAGGGATCCAAAGGTAGCTTTGTTAGGGGAGGTGTTCAAATTTGCCGCCTGTCCTTGACGTTTTCATGCACATCTCGATGCCGCAACTGCTTTTCTTGAGCAAAGTCTCTTTCCAGGCAAGCTGAATCTACCCTTTTGGCTTGTTCACTGATGCTCAAGTCACCCTGACCACATCTGGGCACACCAACTGCAGTGTTGCTGCTCTCCAACTGTGTTTGACATGAAAGCTGACACCTGCTGCTTGCCGCTGACGCCAGACAGAAATAGGCCCGTACACCTACCGCACCTACTACAGCAATTTTGATGTGCGCTTTCGCTGGAGCGGCATGATGTCTTACAAGGTGTGGCGATTGGTGCCTCTACCTATCCTGAGAAAGGATCACCAGTCTGGGTTTGTTGCTTGTTGAATGCTGCATGATTGGCGTTGGTCACTCTTTGGTGGTGGCCACACTCTAGGCAGTTGTCAGCAGGCCTGAATCCTGCTGCTGTGCGCCCAGGGGTTCACCACCTACCAGTTTGAGCCCAGTCTCAGTCCCGGGCTGGCTGAAAACGACACATTTGTGACTCTAAATCTGCCGTTCGTTGGGGCACTGATGGAGCTGAAAAGCAGTTACAAGAAATTCGACTGGCTGATGCACAAGAAGATGCCGCACCTTATGGATAGGTGGGCCCCTTCAGTGGACTTGGGGTTGGGCACTTGCTGTTGTCGTTCATCAGCTTGCATAGAGACTGAAGGCTATTGTGGCACACTGCTGTCACACACAAATGTGTCTCACCCATGCAATCCTGATGTGTCCACATCCTTGGCTCCCTTTGTGTAACCTCATTGTCCATGAGAAAATGGGAATTATGACAGGAAAGAAAACAGAAAGAAATGGAAGAAGAGGAGGGGCAGGGGGGGTGTTGGTGTGCGGAGAGGAGCAGCATATGTTGTTGCATAGTCGAACTCGCTTCACTTGATTTGACAGGGGAATTAGTGTCACACAATGTTTGCTCCCTCCCCGGAACTCATTCCACTGTAAAGCACAGCAGGAAAGCCACATTGTCAATCGTAGTGGCGATTACAAATAGTGAGAAGACGTGCACTCTGGAAGCTTGCAGGAACACATCATGGGCTTGCTGAATTAGCTGCATGCCATCTTCAACATCTTCTCTTGATTGCTGCACTGTACATGTTTGGTTTTGTGTTCATTTGTCCAAAACACCCGATGAAGAAAGCCTCAGCACGAATGCAGCACAGAGTGCGGCAGTATCCAAATAAAGTTTGTCTGTTCTCCATACAAACATCCATCTACATGCCGGCCACATGCCTGCCACTCTGGTAGTGTGTGGGGGTGGAGGAATCGCCAGGCGCTGTTAACAATGCTGGCTGGCGGAATGCACCACTTGCTCCAATTGTGAAAAAGCGGACAGCAGCTGCCCAGAACTGCATTGCTGATTTTTGCCAAAGATAATGAAATATGTTCAGACAGTGTGAGGAACTGATAGTGTAGCTATTTGTTATCATTTTCCATAGAGACAAAGTCATGGATATTTTAGGTTATGACAAATCAGGATGACCAGTACCTGGCAACTGTTTTTTGGTTCCATTTTTCAAAAGAAGCAGTGTGCCTTAGAGGCATGGCAGCACATTGTAAAAGCAACTCCAGGTGAAGTCAGCGCTGCCCACAGTGAGAAATGTTCTCGACATAGTTGTTCCCATTATCATAGCAAGTGCTTGAACGAACAGCTGGCGTCCAGAGTAGAAAAGAAGAAATGAAAGCTGCCCTGCACCGTTAGGACAGGGATGGTCACAAACCCATGTAGTTCGCTCAGAGCGTTTCTTCATCTCAATAAGTCACCTAACCAGCTTGGGGCCTTGCTACCTTCTTGCATCAGGGGTGAGGCCTGCTGTTGTGGGTTAGCTTCTATGTAGTGTCAGCACTGGAGAGTGCTGTTTCCCTCCTGTGCTAATGGATCCAGGAAATGGTCCACAAACTGGGTGGCAATCCATGCAAGGAGGATGCCCAAATGTGTGTTGCCTTTCACAGGTATGGCGAGGGCAAGGAGATGGGTCTATTCATGAGAAGGCAAGTAGATGACTTGTTGTGGGGGTATCAGGTGAGGGTTTCTTTTCATCACCCATTGCTGGCATAATCTGCCATCAAGCGACACCTTGCATTGCTCCCAAAGTGTATGTTTACTTGCCATCTTGGAGCTACTGCTGGCCCCTGTGATGTTGGGAACTGGAGGGAGATGTTGCACTGTTTCAACTTGTGGGGACTGCATGTGCTGCACAGGCCAGAAGACAAACAGTGCGCCATACATGTCCACCCCAGGAGGGGGGGAGGCGATACCGCCTAATATGATGCTGCCTGTGAGCTGGGAGGCAGAGGAGCAAAATGTTAAAAGTTGAAATTTTCATTTAAATTCGAATTTAAATAGAATGATGGCTGTGTGTGGCCAGGATCATCTCCTCAAAGAGCTGAGGAAGTACGGTGATGTGAACCCTGCCTTTTCGTTGATGCACAACGGGAGCCACAGCACCGCCATGCAGGATGAACAAACACACATTAACACTGGAGCTGCCAACATGACACTGTTGTGCGATGTGAGTCATACCCCTGTGCTCCAATGAGGATTTCCCCATGGTTTTGTCGAATCAGCATAGTGTAAAGTCATCATTCAACAGCATGAACTTTGCATAGTGTAGAGAATTGCACATGCTCAAGTGGTGCCACAGAGGCGGGCCTGCTTCAATGCTACTGTAGTGCAGTTCACCACCGAATTCAGCTGCAATTGGAACTGCACAGCAGGGAACCATATTTGCCATCGATTCTTAGAAGTGCATATGATTTGCTAATGCATTGGGAATGACAGACACCTGCAGCGGGTCGATGTGTGCATGTGGACTGCAGTGCCACTGGCCCAGTGTACCGAAATCATGATCCTTGATGACCTGGCATAATCAGATTTTGCAAGACGGGAATGCACTAAGCATGCGTGCCAATCGAGCTGCTTGAACTGCTGTCAGGCACCTTCTCAGAATGTGACTGACTCAACACTCGTATGCCTTGGCCTGACAAACTCTGATTGTAAATATAGTGTAATGAAAAGAACGAATGTGCCAAAGAGGGCACATCACCTTGTAGGGCGCAAGGCCAGTGTGTCTCCACCCTGCAGATTTTACTTAGCAAGAGCACATAAAAGGTAATGTTTCATGTAGTTCTGTGCCCATCAGTGCATGACCTGCATTCATGGCTTCTAGCACGCAGATGGAATCTAGCGCATAGCTGTTCTGTTGCACACGTACATCCACTTCCATTACGTCAGTATTGAAAGGGTAAATGCTGCCTTGTTACCTGCAAGATGCTATGGGGCTTGGTCCCACTGCTACATTCAGTATCAACGACTACATTTGTTGAGGTTTGGACGTTTGGATGAACAATGCTTTTGGAAGCCATCATAAAAAGTGCCATGTTGTGAAACTAGCATACAAATGCAAGGACAACAGGGTGGGCATGCAGGCAGGCTGAATGCAGGCAGGCGGACATGCATCCTTGCAGGCATGAATGCTAGTGGGCTGACAGGCAGCCAAGAACCATCCTTGAATGGACGCCTGCGAATCTGTGCCACAGATCGAAATGCTGAAGGGCAATGGGAACGTGTCATCATGGAACAACCACACTGAGGTAGTCAGGGGCACAGACGGGGCTCGCTTCCATCCATGGGTTAAAGACAACGAGACTGTGACCGTGTGGATGGACGAGCTGTTCCGAGCTGTGACTTTGTCGCCCACAGCCAGCGTGCACATGGATGGAATCAGGCTGCTTCGATTTGAGCTGGTGAGCCTTGCTGAGGGCCTCAAGGCAACAGCGATGTCCTGTTGAATTTTTTTGTCATGCGTTTCTGGGTTGCATTGCATGCTTGTCATGGTCAGGAATTTTTGTATTGTATTGAGAGTTGATAAGCATCCTCCTGAGAAAGAGAAGAGAAGAGATAGGGGGAGCCCTTGAATCAGTTTGTTTTCTGCTTTGTGGCAAACCCATGTTCTTGACTTGCTGTTTTACTTTCAACAGTGGTTGGATTGCCTACCTATCAAAACATCCCCTTTTGCAACGATGTCTGTAGTTTCGCCACATGTTTCTCGAGCTTGGCATTTCTACGTCACCCTTTCCACTGTCCACACCCAGCAGCGGCCTTGCTTTCTTGACCTAATGTTGTCTCCATAGCAGCTGCCTTTAAGAACATGCATACCTGCAGACCTGTGCTCTCCAGCGGGACACTCAACAGCCTGTTATGATTTTTCTTTGCCTTTCTCCAGTGTTCTTCCAGTTTGTTCTCCTGATCCAGCAGTGCCAGTGTGTCCAGCCGTCAGTGGCGGATGGTTGCCGATCATACAAAAAGCGTTGCCCAGGGTTGATCTTCAATGTCGTCCCAGGAACCGTCGATGATGAAACCTGACCCCAGATTCTTTCAGTACATCGAGGGGCTGTTCAACGTGACGAGCCCGATGGGAGGCGGCGTGCACGGCCCTCCTGGCAAACCAGGCCTGCCAGTGTATTATTCGCTGCCGCACTACTGCCATGCTGCGGCCAATCTGACAAAGGGTGTGAATGGCCTGGCATGCAACTCGACACAGCATGAGCTGTACATTGATGTGGAGCCTGTCACAGGTGGGGAAGAATAGTGGGCAAGAGCGAAACAAAAGGGAATGGAAAATGGAAACGATAAATGGAGGTATCCTCACAGGCAACATGTTGCACTGAAAGCTGGTCATGGCATGGTGACTATTGAACTCATGTGTTCAGAAAGCACCGACTGCCCATGGACTGCACCGACAGCACATTGCTTGTCAGAAGAACATGCCTACCTCATGGCATCAGAGCAGATAGAACACGCATGTGTCCAGAAAATGAGCACCCACCGACATGCAAATATTTGATCCCAACCCCAGAACACACCCCACCATAATCAGATGCAACTGCAAAGAAAACAAATGGAAATGAACCATTTCTTGTTTATTCCATGCACTGCAGTGATCCGTTGTTTTGACCAAGGCACAGCAAACGCCCACCTTATGCGCCCCAGACCTCATTTGTTGGCTGCAAGGACTGGTGCTCGTCATGTTTTTGACAAATGCACCCAGTGCGGAATACTAGTACCAAATAGAGGGATGCAGCATATGCCCCCAGATTCAGCACGGAGGCGATCCTGCAATCATGTGTTGCAATAACATGACAGCATCAGATATTCACGATTGTCTATGAACAGTGGAAAAGCCAAGAAAATATGCACAGAAGCATCATGAAATTGTATCCAAAGCAACAGTTCCCGAACATAATTTTGAAATGTTCTTGGGTGACCACAGGCAGTGTCGAAACGAGGGGACCACAGCATTGAGAACGCTTTCTGTCGCAGTGCCTGAAGTCACCAGGCATGTGCATTCATGGTGTTTGGTGATGTGTTTCGGCATGGATAGCTACCAAGAATGCATCTTCTCGCGCCTTAACCATGCGCTATGGACTTTATTGTCAGCAATGAACACTGGCTCTTTGCTTCACAGGTGAGGCATGGCGGACGGCCAAACGCCTCATGATGAGCTCTGAATTCGGACCAGGTTTTAAGACCATTGATGCCAAGTTGAACCGAACAGTATTGCCAATATTTTGGGTCGAGAATGCTGCCCAGGCTTCACAGTCGCAGGCGACGGTTCTCAATGACGAAGTGTTCAAGTGAGTTACCACTAGTTGCTTCATGAATTAATCCATGTGTCGCAAGTGCACCGAGCCATTCTACGGTGTCAGGTGAACAACATTGTGAGCTTGCGATGAAGTGCGTTTCCACGACATGTTGTGTTCTCTCTTGCTGCCAAAGAGTCTGAACACTGTGGCTTGTCACAAACGGAAGAATCTTGGGCATTCAGAAGTCTTAAGTGCATGTGATTGGCACAATCGATGCGCCACAGTGCCTATGGCTTTGAGGTGTTTTGAGTGAGGTGTGGACTTCAGCAGACCAACACAACTGGATGCTCACTGTGGGGCCCTATGCCCTTACAGGCTTGGGAATCCCAAGTTGGCTGGTTTAAAGTCGCCGAGCTGGTTTTTGTTTTTCGAAATTGACTCCACATGTGTTGCAAGTGGTTGTTGCTTATCCAAACATCTGAATTTGCCTCCTGTGGCGCTTGCTTTTCCTTGATCAGGATCCAGAAGGCGAAAGGGCTGTCTGGATCGTTGCCATTCCTGATGGCGGCGCTTCTGGCATCATGTGTCCTGTACATCGTGTTCGGCATGTTCATACAACGCAAGCAACGAAGGACTTCGGTGCTCATGTGGGGAAGTGCCGCGCGGATGGAGCAAACGATGGATGCGGGTGTGTGCACTTGCACTTTGTCTGTGAAGGGCTGTTCATGCTGTGAGAGAAAGTGCTGATGTTTGTGTACGCTGAACCTCAAGTCCATACTGCTCTGTCAACTTGCCACAAGCCCTATTCACGTTGCAGTGATGCATGGGCAAGGGCCATGGTTTGAGTGCTGTTGCAAAGGTACTCAAGAGAATTGCATAAACCACATACCAAGCAGTGGTGAAGTGCATGCAAGCATGGTCCACCCTATGAGGCTAGTAAGTACCACTTCATTGTGCATGAATATGACCCTGGGTTTGACCATTATCTGGGTGAGGTGACTGTGGTTTCTGTGAACTCTATCTGCATGCACCATTCAGCCATTAGTTCTGAAGCGACAGTGTTGCAACTTGTAAGGAGCTTGTTTTGAGCACCTAGAATCGCTCACCCCTTGTGCTTTGCTCGTCTCCAATCCGTTGGCAGTGGTTACAGACAGAGGAGTTGATGTGGAGGAGCCACTAATCAGGCAAAGGCATGTGGTCAAGGGCCAACACCCACCACCCTCTCCAGAGGCGGGGCCATCGAGCAAGAATGACGCTCAAACTTCCCCGACCGACTAGTCGCCTCTCAGGATGCAGCCACAACAAGCCATTTTATTCTGTGGGACGCTTTCCTGGCTGAGACTGCCCAAGGATTCAACATGCGGTTGGAATGTCCTTTCGCTGGTGGTTGGTCACCAGCCGGCTTCTGACACACACAGGGCAACAGGCATGGAAGGGAGACTGCATTCGCTGCAGGCGTAGCTGGAGTGTGGCCTTGTTGTGTGTCCCTTGCGCGTGGCTAGAAGCCGTGTGGCAAGAATCTGCTCAGTACGGGGACCACGGACATGCTCTATCTTGCGATTGGTGTGAAAACTTTGGGAGAAGCCTGTTGTCTGCGTTGCCGCAGCTCTAGCCTGGCCAAACATTTGCCCTAAAGGTGTTATGCCAGGCAGGTGATGGCGAGGCCTGAATGTGCATATGTGTTGCACTGTGTGTGTAACATGGCAGTGGATTGGTGCTCACCGCAATGGTGCAAGATACATGGGAAAGAATAGAATCCAATGAAGGGTGTTCACCAGGGGAATTTGTAAGGACAGGGGGAGGACGTTTGCTGTGCAGAATTAGGACAGCGGCTAGCTTAGGCAGAGATGTAAATTATGGGGTGCTGGGCTGGTTTATTCTCTTGGGACGCCAATCCGCACTATCAAAGGAAGGGCGTTCAGGATGGTGCGGAGGTTGTCAAGGATCTCTTCGGCCGTTAGCATGAAGGATCGGGGAGCGTATGGCTATAGCCCACTCCCGGAATGCGACACAATCACAGACCGGATGTCTGGTGCAGTGGATCTTTTCCAAGGATTGTAGGATAGATTCCCGAGGGAGCGGGCTCACGACACCCGCATGGTGGAGCGAGAAAACAAAGTGGAGTTGGCACCCACGTTGCCCCCCAAACATTCCCATGGCGTAGCCAGAAACCCAGGGCAACACGCGCGCCCCCCAGAGAGGCATGTACATGCTAAGTGAATGTTTCCCATGGGCGTCCTGACGCCCCCTACTAGTAGGCGTACCATAGCGATCGGACCAATTTTTTCCTGCCCGCCTATGGACCTCCCTTGCCTACTCCGCAGACCCCGTAACCAACACTTAAATATAGTTGATGAGCGCCGCTTAGATGAGTTGACTCAACTTGTGTAAAGACAACCCGTCTAACGCAAAGATGGAGTCAATGTTGCAATTGACTTCACCATAGGGCAGCTGAACACATGCAACGGCTTTGCAAACAAGGGGTATTTGTAGCAGAGAAGCTTGTGTCATTAGTACACAACCAACATGTGGCCGCATTTAGGAAGGATCACCCTTTACACAAGTTGTCCTTAGACCAAATGTCCTTAGATCACTTGTCCGTTACACAGGTTGTCTTTAGACGAATTGTCCAGACACCGCCTTATGGAGGGGTACCACCCATAAAATTTCTCCGGAAGAACCTCACACGCCTCAGAATTCCCCAAGGTGAAGGATTACAAGGGCAAAGAAAGTGGCTAGGAAATGTATGAGACAACTTGGCAAATTGCAACAATGTATGAGACAACTTGGCAAGCAATGCCAGGAAAAAAATTGGATTTCATCTTGATAAGATAGGTTACCAAAAGGGCTAACAAAATGGATGAACCATATATTTATGTATTTTAAAGGCCACAAACATACCTAAATCAGGTAGGAAAAGACCTAAGTCCAAGGCAGGTATAGTCAGAATCATGGCAAAGGGCGAAAGGAGGCAATTGTTGAAGAAAACAGGCTCAGTGATGGAAGAGTTATAGTAAGAGGATATTATTTAAAGAAATGTTGATGAGGAAGCCGAGCCAACTAGGAAACAAGTGAAAGTCACATTGAAAGATTCTTTCAATGTGAATTTCACTTGTTCCCTAAATTCTGAATTTAAGGATGTGTCCCAAATAAGCTACCATATGGACTGCCGCCTGAGAGGGTAATCGTTCATGAGATAGAAACTCTAACAAGAGAGATGCCACCACACAAAAGCCCATATAGGCTGAGCATGGTAGAGTTGGCTACAAAGGCAAATTGACACAATGTTGGAGCAGGGTTGGATTTAATGGAGCTCCAGCCTATACGGTGCACCCATCTTGTTTATGGGATTAACTATCTTGTTAAGTGGTTTCCGCCCAGGGCGACGAGGGGCGGGCGCGCTAGCCCACTTGGGACAGCGCTGCTTAAAGTATAATGGTTTTGGCGGCCCCTTGGGGTTTCTGTCCCTCTGTACCTTGGGTCAGTGGCTGGTCCGTGGCGTTCAAGGAGGGCCAGTGGTTTTTGGCGCCCTTGGGAGCGGCGGGCTTTGGCGGGCGCGAGCGGGGAGGCTACTTAGGCTCACCCCTCGGTCCCCACCTTATCTTGTTTCGCTTCGCGCCAACCCTTTGGCACAACCCGGACCCACAGAGTGGGTCGCGACCTCCGGCTCTTGCCGAGTTCTTGCCTATGAACCCGTCCCCTGCGGAGCAGTGGTGCCGGGACCAAGCTCGCCGGTTCAACAACCGTATTCCGACCTCCGCTATCGAAGCCTGCTGGTTGCCCGACCCGGCCCTACTCCCCCAGTCCGTCAACAACCCGGTAGCCCGACCGGTGGGCGCTCGTTCGCCGTACTGGTTCGACGTCCGCGACACCGCCGAGGGGAGTGCGGTCGCCGCCTCTTTGGGCGCCAACTCCGGTTACTTCCAGGAGTACGCGGGCTGGGCGCCTCCGGTCTCCTGGCTGTTCGATACGACTGCGGCCTTCGTGGAGGTGGCCGCCCATCCCGATCTACCGGCATCAGTTCGGGAATTCCTCCTCCCCTACCTTTACTCGTACGTGGAGGTCACCGAAGCTCTCCACGACCAGCTCTCTTTGCAGCGCATCCACGCCAAGCACAAGGGCTCGGGCTTGGAGGGATCGTGGCGCGCCATCCAGGCGGAGATCCGCCTCGCCGACCGCGGACTGCGCTTCGGCACCGCTCGCGTCGACGGGACCATCGAGCGCATGCGCAAGGAGCTCTTGACGCAAGAATTGAAGCACGCCACCAAGACCGCGGCTGCCAAGAAGGCTACCTCCTCCCCGTCGACCTCGGCCCCCTCGACCGGCCCCAAAGCCCACAAGGGATCTCGCCCTCCGGGCCCCTCTCCCAAGCCGGCTCCGTGAAGCATTTCCCGTACAATCGGGTCCGCGGACGCCTTTCGGCGTGGCGTCGCATCGGCGCCCCCTCCCGCATCCTCCAATGGATCCATTCCGGGACTCCGCTTCTGTGGGGACCGCGTGGACCGCCGGCTCCCTTCGACGAGGGCTCCTACCCGCTCCGCTCCTCGGAGGAACGGGCGGCCTGGCAATCCCTTCGAGCGGACTACCTCTCTTCGGGCGCGATCACCAAAGTGGAGCCGGGCCCCAACTCGCGCATCTCTCGGGCCTTCCTGGTGGAGAAGGGGCGGGAAGATGGGGTCATGAAGTACCGCCTTTGCATCGATCTGCGACGGGTCAACCGTCACCTTCGCAAGGTGGGCCTTCGTTACGAGAAATTACGTGACTTCGGTCACTTACTTCGCCAAAATGACTCATTGGTGGGATTCGACATCAAAGATGCTTATCATCATCTTCGCGTGTGTCGATCGGAGGAATGTTTCCTCCAATTTCGGATGGGAGATGAAGTTTTCGCTTGTCGAGCTCTCCCTTTTGGCCTTTCGTTGGCTCCTTTCTTTTTCACCCATTTGATGCTTGTTGTGGGTCGTTTCTTGAGGTCCCCAGGCAGTTGCCCCAAGGCTGCTCGCCATTTCCGTTTTGGGTGCCTAGCCGGGGATGACTCAATAGCTACATACTTTCACGTGTATACTAGGGAACCGCCAGCCATTTTGTTGGCTTATCTCGATGATTTTTTGGCGGCCATGCATGATGCCGCACGTTTGACTCTATGGTCGAAATTGGTTCGGGGTGTGTTTGCCTCGCTGGGCCTCCAATTCAAGGAGCGGAAGTGACAATGGACCCCGGTCATGCGCAAGAAGCATTTGGGGGTGATTGTGGACACGGCCCATGGCCGTTTTAAGGTTCCTCCGGATAAGGCCGCGTTGATCGCCAATCAGGCCCGCATTTTGCGATCCAGCCGCTGGGTTGTGGCAAGGGATTTGGCACGTTTTTGCGGCCTCGCCATTTCCCTTTATTTGGCTTTTCCTTTGGCACGATTTTTCTTGCAAAGCCTCTACGCAGTTCTTCGCTCCAAGCGCAGTTGGCGGGATCGCCTGATCCTCTCCCCCCAAGCCCGGCTGGACTTGGAGGCGTGGGTCAACATCCGCCGCTGCGAAGGCCGTCCACTCAACCCCGACGCAATCCCCTTTGCCGGTACTCTGGCAACGGACGCTAGCCTGACCGGTTGGGGGGCCACCTTTGCTCCCCCGACGAGGTCCCGCCCCCTCCTCGCAAGGGGGTTTTGGGACCGTTCCTTAACGCACATCAATGTGCGTGAGATGCAGGCGGTGGAGCGAGCCATTCTCAGCTTTTTTCCGGCTGCTTCCCATGGCCTTCCTTCGAGGCTCAAGCTGTTGGTCGACAACCAGGTGGTCATGTACTGCCTGCGCAGCATGACTACCCATTCCAAGCAGCTCCTCACCCCCCTTCGTCAGCTGCACCGAGTCTGTACGGCGCGCCACCTCCTGCTCGACCCTGTTGATTTGGGCAAGTGTGGGAGTTAAGGACGTGGAAATGAGGAGTGGTGGGTCTGACTCAAGGGCTGAGTCTTGTATGGGACTGGCTTGACTACTAGCGAAGCGATTGGGCACACTAAGTTGTGGGTACCTCGGGTTGTATTGGGACAAACAATGTCGTGTAATGTATTGGTCCAGTGTGTGTGTGGACCTGGGTGGGACAAGGAGCCCGGCCCGGCGGAAATAGCTAAAAAAATAGAAGTGAAGGATGTGCATTAGCTACAGGGTACTGAATAGAATAACAATCAAAAATCTGTACCATTACCAAAGGTAGAGGAATTGTTGGATGGACTGCACGGAGCTAAATACTTCACACAAATTGACCTCTCTTCTAGATATCATCAATGA